GAGATCTTTCGGTTATTGCAATTTTTTAGGTCAAGAGAGTGACTGTTCTAGCATTTTTATTCAAAACTGTTGCTTATGAAGAAGTCAAAGGAGAGTTCCAAGGTGCCACGAGAGCCAGAGCGTACGAAGGAGAGGAAGGAAGGGGGGAAACAAGCGAGAAGGGAGTGTTGCCAACCAAAATACTTTGAATTTGGATGAAAATGACGCCAAAGCGTACATGTAACAATTTCAAGGAGTAGTCGGCGGTTCTCCGGGGGTAGGATGAAGGCTCGGGAAATGTTTGCGCGCTTGTCGGGGAAGGTCAACGAGGATCCAGAAGATAATTCAAGTACAAGTAAACTCAAAGAACTAAATATCGAGGCCTTATTTAAGGGACATTCAAGACACTCGTGATACTTGTTCTTTTTGTCGCAACGCCACGTATCTTACCCTACACGCTCGCCTACTCCTCCATCGCATCCTGTCGCCGGTATAGGTACAGGTAACCCAGGTCCTTGGGCGGCTTCTCGCTTGCCGCCACCTTCTGGTCATCGAATATCGCCCACTCGCCCTCCTTCTTGATGTGCGCTACGTAGTGCCCGCTCCCCAAATTCCGCCCTACGTGGCTGATGAAACCCACCAGCGAATACACACCCTCCCCGTCGTTGTACTGGCTTGGCGTCTGTCCTCCCTCCTGCCCTCTCTCCTCCCCTCCGCCGGCCCCAAGCACCTCGGCCACGGCCCGCGGGAGGTCGTCCGCGTGGGAGAAGAGCCAATCCGCCGCACGTTCCATGCTCCCCTCCGTGGCCTGCAAAGCCGCTTTCGCTTGCTCTTCAGTGAAACCCATCATGGCTGCTAAATTGTTTACAGCACTTGCGTCGGGCTCCGCCGCTCTAGGCGCCGACGAGGCGGTGGCTGAGGCCGACGGAAGGGGTTCGTTGATATCCGAGTCCTCCAAATGCTCGAACAACCAGGCCGTCGCCTGCTCCACCCCCGCGTTGCCCACAGCCAGCAAGGCCCTGGCGATCGCGTGGGTGGAGAAGCCCATGCATTCCATCTGGGCCGCCATCCCTGCATCTACCGAGGGCGTCTTCCCCTCCGCTTCCCCTTTCTCCCCGCCCTCCTTCCCATAAGGCAAGGTCTCCTCGCCCTCCTGCAGACCCCGACCCCGCCACGCCCGGAGGTCCAACACCTCCGGCACATCCACCACTGCCTCCAGCTTTTTTCCTTCCCAGGTCTGAGTGTCCACGTAGTAACGCTTGAGCTGGACGATCAGGTAGCGAGGGAAGGTCTGGAAACGCACGCTTTTGCGCGCTAGACCCTTCCGGCCCAAGGCGGTAGAAAAATAATCCTCCACGTCCTCAGTCCGGACAAATGTCTCAAAACAGGCGGCGAACGGCACGATAGGGAACACCTCTTCCTCCTTCTCCGCAGCATTGCCCTCCTCGCCGCCCAAGCCACTGGCCCCCTCCTCCTGCCCTGCGCTTCCCTCTTCGACCGCAGGCCCTGCTGGTGGCGACTTATCCGCGGCCAATTTCTGTTTCTTGTTAACGCCGTGCTTCGCCTGGTGCTGGAGGACCGCGTCTCTGTTCGTGGCCGCCTCCACGGGTATCATCAAGCGGAGGAAGAGATCGCTCTTGCTCCCGTACCGGACCTTCCCACTCTCCACGCACTGCAATCGCTCCTCCACCAGGTATTTGAAGAGATCTTCCGTCGAGACACTCCAGTCCTGGCCTCCCTCCTTCCCACCCAGGCCCCGTTCCGCCCTCAGCAATCTCTCCAGCACGTGCTCGAGGTATTCGGCCGCGTCCTGCTGCCTCCCTGTCGAGAACTCGGGGTGCTGCTTGCCCATCAGGGTCTTGAACATTTTGGGCTCCAAGCTTGTGGTGAAGCCCGCGTCGCCCGCTGCATCGGCTGCCTCCCGCTCGGCCTGGGAGAGGGGGGGGGCATAGCGTGCGGTACACAGCCCCTGGGCGAGCTTGCTCATCTGTGTCAGCACGTCGGCGGCCGGATCAGCGACTGTGCCGGCACGGGTCTGCACCAGGTCGTACGCGTGGTCGAGGTATTGTCGTTGGACTTCTGGGAGGGTGAAAAGGAGTTGCAGGACGCTGTTCATGTAGCAGGAATTGCCTAAGTTTTTCAACCCCACGTACCCCGGACCTCGGAGGGGCCGCAAATGGGCCCCTGCCTCTGTTATGCGCGAAAAAGCCCATTTTTGCCCCTCGATCTCCAGCTCTGCCAGCGACTTGTCCGTTTTTTCCAACCGCATCGCGTCGATGCCCCAATGGGCCAAGTGTTGCGCCAGTTTGGGGTCCGTCACCATCCCGTCCTCGTCCGGCGCGTAGCTGTACACGTCCGCGCCGTGCGGAGTGATGGTCCCCAGCTTCACCGCCAGAGGGTACAGGCCGTGGGTGTCGTGGAAGTGCCTCAAGGCCGCACCTGTCCCGATCGTCTCGCCGTTGACGACCTGGGCCCGTCCCGACCCGATGTACCCGTCTGACAGGTTTAACCACAAGTTTTGCGTCTGCCCGGACTCCGCACAGCGCCATGTGGCGGGGTCACTGGAGACTTTTACTCCGTTGGCCAATTGAATCAAACCGTCTGCGTACTTGCTCACCGGCCGCGGGTCTTCCTCGGCGAGCCAGGTGGCCTCTTCTGCCTGACTCCCAGCCCCTTGATGGTCAATAAGTGCTCGAGCCGCACGGGAGACAATTTCCGGGAGGGCCGTGTTGGGCAATGGCACTGGTTGGGTCTCGACCTTGCCGCAGCTCCCATTCTCCCCGGAATTCACGACAACCAAAGCGCACTCTTTCACCACCTCAACCTTCTGGCTGTCTAGCGGGAAGCCTCCTTCCACGCCGATGCCCAAGACCGTAGGACCCGTATTTTTCTCTTCGCAGACTGGGCTGGACTGCGCCGCATCCTCCCTTGGAGCGAGTGAACTTTCGCTTTCCTTTTTCTGAACCTGGTCATCCTCTGGCACAGGAACCTTGGTGTATTTCAGATGGACGTAGAGCGTGCTGCCCGTTTTATGGCTATCAAAAGCAAGATAATCCCTGCCTACACCGCCCCACGTCGCAAGATTTACGTATATGCCGTCCGAAGAGAAGGGTGTGTCGAAAGAGTACATACATTCATCGTTGTAGACTTTGTCATAGCTGCCGGGCACTCTTACGCTGCTCATTTTTGATCGAATAGCGTCCAGCAGGGTTGAATCCAAATTCGCCATGGTGATGATGTTGCCAATATCCTGTGAATGTACTGTCCGCTTTGGAACAAGTGTACGGAAGCAGTGTTGGGAGCATATTTTAGTGGTGCGTATGAAAAGGAATTCACTCATTTCTCGTTTCAAGGAACGTGTAAGCGACAGGCGGCGAAGCCCGGTTAGGAGTTGCAACTGTCTTTCACAGCGACAAGAAGAAAGGAAATAGCGGGCAAATCCGCCACATACACGCTGTCGTCTGATGGATAATCATCCTTTTGCATGCATGTGGGCGGTGAAGTGGGTCGCATGGCAGGTTGGGACACTCGAGTTTCGAAAAAATCATGCAGATATCAACGAGAAAGCTACGATTGAGCAACATCTGCAACAACTCAGACTAACTGCAGCCCCGTAACTCCAACGCATTATGGCATGCATCAACGCACAGATCCGCCCCTGTCAAAGATTGTGAAACGTATCGTTTGTTGGCGGCAGCGGGGGGTCAAGGGAGGGTTGTGAGAAAAGGGGATGAACGGTGGTGGGGGCAAATACGTGGAAGGGGAAGAGGCGATGGTGGAAGCCTCCTTGAGGACCATGTCACTGAACAATGCCGCAGTACCTGCAACGGATCAGATGCATGTCCTACTGGGAGACAACTTGGAGAAAAAAAGGAAGAAAAAAAAGCGGAAAAAAAAAAGCAAGACAGCTGCCGCGACGGGACCCCAGGAGAACGCCACGATCGACAACCACAGCCCAACAGGTACACGAAGAAGCAATGATGCCATTGCGGCAACCGTCTCGGTAAAGATGGGCACATTGACGACGAAAGAGCCTCCTAAAGCGATTCAAAACGGTGCCCATTCCATGTCAAGCTCGCCCCTTCCAACGTCCCCGCCGCCCTCCTCAAGCGAATCAGACTCTGACGAAGGGAAGCCATCAAACCCAGAGGCGTCGCACTGGTCCGTGGTCGCAGGCACGTCAGGAGACGGCACGGCTCATCCGACGTCCCGTCTGCCATCGGGCCTTGCGTCCTCCATCCCCAGCTCCCTGCATCCACCACCCTCCAGGACACCGTCGTCCGCCCTCCCCCCCACAGCACAAGCTCCGCCCGGCCCCCACCCAGTTATGACCGAGGAAAACCTCCTTGACTTACTGTCGGGTAAAACGCTGCCCCCTGCCATCTCGACCTCCATCCCCAGACCGCACCGGGGTCTGGTCAACGCCGGGAACACCTGCTTCCAGAATCTGGTCCTACAGGCCCTTCTCGCCAGCGAACCCCTCCATCGCCTCCTCCTCGTCCTCCGACCACTCGTCCTCGCGTCTTCTTCGCCGGCCTCCCCCTCCCTTTCCCTCCTGGCCCGGCGCTGCCAAGCACTCGTGCCGACGTGGATGGATATGGCGAAGGTCGCCGTCGCCCTTGAGGATCCCTCTCTTGTCGCGGCCTCCACTGCCTCTCCCGCGCTCGTCATGTACAAAAAAAAAGACAGCGCCGTCGCTGGGAGGAAGTCCGGCAAGAAGCACCTCGTCGGCACCGGCTCCTCCTCCTCCTCCTCATTTCCCCCACTTCCTTCTCACCCCAGCGGCGTGGCCAACGGGTTCAAGCTCCGTGGCCCGCTAGAGGCACGGTCGCCTTCACCCCGTGATTTCTACCTGGCACCCTTGCGGCCGGACGACTATTTGGAGGAGGCTTTCCGGGCCTTCCGATCGTCAGAGGCCGGGGAACAGGAAGATGCTCAGGAGTTCTTGGCCTTCCTCTTGGACCGGCTGCACGAAGAAGCCGTGGGGGCGGGGGCGGGGGGGGGGGAAGGGAAAGGGGCGAAGGAGGAGGAGGAGGGGGAAGGGGGTTGGCAGGAAGTCGGGGAGAAAGGCCGCGTCGCCAAGCTCTCTGTGAGCGGGGTCAAGCGGACCGAGAAGGGGACCACGGACGTATCGGCGATTTCCCGCCTCTTCTATGGGCGGGAGCGCTCGGACATAAGGAGGGCGACGAGTCGGAGCATTTCGGCGACGATGACAAGGTTCAATTGTCTTCAGCTGGACTTGCCGCCCCTGGGTGGCGGGGGGAAGAAGGAAGTGGCATTAGAGGAGGTAATCGAGCATTCCTTCCGGGAGGAGGTGATCGAAAGCAGCGACGGAACATTCCTTCGGAAAAAGCTCTGCCTGGATGCGCTCCCTCCCGTCCTCATTCTCCACCTCAAGCGCTTCATTTTTGACCTCCATCAAGGGGTGGGCGTCAAGCTGCACCACAGAGTCCACTATCCGTCCTGCCTCAGGCTGCCTTCTCAGATGCTCTCAGTAAGTCTGCGGACGACGGCCGGGATCGAGGGGGGAAAAGGCGAGGGAAAGGGCCCTGCATACGAGCTGTTTGCGGTGGGGCTGCACTATGGTCGTTCCTTGAACGGTGGCCACTACACGGTGTTTTGCAAGGAGGGGGGGGGTGGAAAGGAGTGGGTGGGATACGACGACGAGCGCGTCGATCGGGTTCAAGAATGGGAGGTAAAGAGTTATACAGAGCAAGTCTACCTCCTTTTCTATGAACGGGTTTAGGTCGGGGAGAGAGAGGGGTCGGTGGGAAGGGAAAGACAGGGCTGTACAGCGGTCAGGCAAGGATGGTGGAAAATCGTTCAAATGAAGTAAGCTACCGGCGACTACCCCTTGCTTGGCTCGTTTTTAGGAAAATTCTAGTCGTTCGCGTTCTGCCTCCTGCGTACATTTTGCCCATCTTTTAAAATTTTAAAGGGGGTCATGCAGACGGTGGAAGCTTAGCCACGCAGGCTTTCCGCTCCGTGTAACCAATGGTCAGGACTAGGCAATGCATGGGCAGAGATTGTGCGGCTCAAGCTCGTGCTGGCGAGTTGATCGGGGCAGCATCCAAAATAGAGCTTGATTCCGGCGACAGTGGTGGGAATCGAGATTGTGTCAGGAATAAGGATAGCATTCGGACTGTGCGACAGCTAAGACTAGAGCGGGATGGTAGACTACACGCAAGGGCGGAGGCCTCGTGGGACAGGCGGACCCTGGCAATTGAAGCTACGTACCCCTGTGGAAATTAAGCGTAAAAACCGTCTTACAAAGTAATCGACTAACAGCATCTCTTATATTTTTCCTTTGTTGCTAGTTGATGGAGGTGGTCACTTTGCCATGACCTTTTAAAAGGCCCTGCGAGGATGGCGCACCGGCGGAAGAGCCCTAATGGTTATGACGATCCTCTCCACGGCAAGGCTCGCACATAATCTACCTTTTTCCTCCCTCTTTCATCAAAACCCATTCTTTTTTAGCTTTTTTTTCAAAAAAAAAGAGAGTTTTCACCTCGGGGCACTGCTTTGCCTAGCTTATCTGAAGCCTTAGTCGCACAACAGTGACTCGCGGGTGTCTACCTTGGTCTTGGGATTCGTGCCTAAAGGAAAACAATTGTCCGAGTTTGAGCTTGTTCATCGAGGCCTCAAAATTTCCGCCCCTCCAAGAGTCCAAGACATTCTCCACACACTCCGGCACCCATGCCAACCGTGGCTCCAACACTCTGCGTACCTGTCGCCTTCTCGCAGAGCTTTTTTTGAACGAAACGGTCGAGCAACGTGTCGGAGAAATCCGCACCCTCAATGGAACCAACTTTCAGGACTGTTTCCGTGAAGTAGGCGTTGTTGACGATCGCGTCCTTGAGAATAGCGTCGACCATATTCGCTCCCTCGAAGGAGGCGCTGGTTAGGTCGGCTCCTGCGGGGAAATGCGGTGAAAGCAAGCGATAAATTTGCTGATAGATAATGTCATGCCCTTGGATATGTTACATTTATGTTTTTGATGTTTTGCATCTCTGTGTGGCTCGCTGCTCTTTCTCAAGGAAACCTACCGGTAAAATCAGCCTCAGTCAAGGCCGACTTGTAAAAACGCGCACCCATAAGCTTTGCTCCCTTGAAATTGGCGCGTTGCTGTATGCACGTAATTTGAATTTATTAAATACAGAAATATAAATTGCTTGATAAATTGCTTGATTCACACTCCTGCCTTCAATATGGACTCACTACCCCATCAAAAATCCCTCCCCCGTACCCCGCCAAAACCATGACCCACCGCAAAAGCCCCCGAAAAGTCTTTTTTACTGAAGTCTTTTCCACTGAAGTCTTGATCTGCAATTTTGGCCTCTGCGTAATCTTTTCCTCCACCGGAAATGGCGTGTGCAGTGGGTACATCCAAAAACGGACCGAGGAGAAGAATCGGAGCAAAACTCAGAAGCCGGCGGATGGAGATGATGATGGGATTTGAGGATGGCAAGGATGACGATGCTGAAGAAATTGCCACCGTTGTCCTTAGTATTTTTTATTCGAAATCAGATAAGATGTGTGTCCCTATGGATACTTTCAGGGCACTAAGAAAGACGTCACGGACATGGAGGGAAAATCAGCTGACCTGCGGCAAGACGAAGGCATCTTTCCCCGTACAACAAAAGATTGGACGCTAATGCAACTGATCAGGAGAAAAAGCATAGCAGGTTGCAGTGTCGGACGCATGGCTGTGGGTGCTGCTGTATGGGGACAAGGTAAGAAGCAATAGCTTCAAGTCATTGAAAGGAATGATTCATTGTCCACGGGGTTCGACAGGCAGGAGGTTAGATAGAGCGGAGTTGGAAGTGAGGCCTTTAAAGAAGGCAACAAAAATATTGAAAGGTCAAATAAACGTCAATCGTTGTTGTATCTATGGAGTTATACTGAGTTGCTCGTGGGGAAAAAAACACCAGTTGCGCTATCGCTTTTCTCGTTTTCAATCTAGCGTCGTTCTTCGTGACTCGCGAACTGAAGCATGAGAAATACAGACTGTCACACAAAACGCTTTTATATATCACAGGGGATAAAATGATGACGAGTAATGACACGTCTGGTACAAGTACACCCTCCATGGCACAGTGCGATCGTTGGCCTGCACTGGAGAGCGATGCGGAGGTCTATACGGCATTGCTACATACACTATTAAGCCCTTCATCTACGCCTTCAGACACCCGCACCCCTTCATGTCCATTTTTTTTCCAAGATGTATTCTCTTTGGACGATGATTACTTGGGGTTTGTGCACGGAGAGACGCTGGCATTGATACTCGCGTATGACGATCGCGCGCTCAATCCGAGTCAAGAGTCTCCACCTGATCCTCAACTGCCAATCGCACCTATTTTTATCAAGCAACTTCCCGTCCTCGACAATGCCTGCGGCACGATTGCGTTACTTCATGCAATAATCAACACACTGCCAGCTTCCACCATTCCATCATCCTCGCTTCTTGCCAAGTTTGTGTCACCGATACAGGCTGGGGAAACGTCATTTACAAGTGAAAGCTTAGGAATACGCTTGGACGCTCACGAAGGAATTCGCGCCGCACACTGGTGCGTTCCCTAAAGATAACATGTAAAATGATGTATCTCCCTATGTATAAAGTGTTCTTTCCCTCTTCGAGTTTGCTCTGGGATCCGCCAATTGGGGGGCCTCGTTATTACTTTGGCATTTCGAATTCGTATCTGATTTCCTATTTTAAGTCAATGGCATACGTCAATAGATGAAAATTTGATGTGATAAGTTGATTGTTTTATGAACGAGAGAAATATTAACACCTCTGACGATCTTCTCGCATTACCATCTCACAGTGAGCATGCTGCTCAAGGACAGAGCGAGCAAGTCCAAGGTGATGCAGTGCGCTATCACTTCATCTGTTTGATTCCTAATCCATTATCGCCCTATCCATCTGTTCTTGAGCTTGACGGTCTTAAAGCACACCCAATCATACACGTTGGGGGAAGTGAGAATGGAAAAAAGGGAGAAACGTTTTTGCAAATGGGCGCAATGGTGTTGAAGCGTGAGTTCCTGGCGCAATTCAGCAATGCAGATGAGACACAAATAAATGTTCTGGCCCTTGTTCGCGAGGATCCATGAAAGTATGCCCAAAAAAAGACAAGGCGGTACTACCCGTCTTCAAATTTTGTCGCAGGCAAAGAAAGACAAGGAGGTACTACGCGTCCTCAAACATTGTCACAGGTTGTTTCTTTCAAAAACAAAGAGATGTTACAAAAAAGCCACAGCACGCATGCTCTCTCTTATAGCATGCATATATCATTTGTACACATGCTGAACAAGCTTCGCCCGAACACAGTGTCTCGAGGCATGATTTGGACGTGGGCCATGGCTTCTGGTCACGCAGAATGTCATGCCAACTGTTTTTTTTTATAATGACCAATCCCAACACAACTGGTCTAACATAAACGCGCAAAAGTAAATTTTGTGTGATATTTGTAAAAACTTTACTGGAGGCATGCCCTTCGTCCGTTCAGTTTCTGCCGTACGTCTTTTTTAGGACAATGGATAGCAGGCACCCATGCAGGGCCTCAGGGCGATGGATTTGCATGCATGAATCCATGTTGAAGAACAATGTGTGTATCTCTGTGCCCCCCGCGAATCATGACCCCTGCCGTGCCCTGTCATGTCCGTCGAATAATTTTCGGAGGATTGCCTCGTCTTGTTGCGCCTTCGCGCGCGTCTGCATGTGAGAGGCGGCCGTAATGTTGAGCGAAGTTGACGACGTCGTTAAGTTGAAGCGAAAGGAGCGTCGCGTTAGAAGCGGCGACGTCCCTGCATAGTACTTGGACGCGTGTACGCACGAGTTTCCCGTGACGTGGACACCGGGCAAGGTCGTAGCCTGCCGCGGTTCGGCATGCGTCCAAGCGTATTCTAGCTGATTAATTTGTGTACAGTGTGTCCTGGGAGGGCCTCGGTGGTGGAACACGATGAATTTTAGAGAGGACAAGTCCGAGGTCCGCCTGGGGCCTCAAAATGGAGGAGGACGACACATGCACACTCGTACATGGTCATGAATGACGTTCGGTCCTCTTTTAACCATCGGCAACATCCGCATGTATGATATCCATAGAAATGAAAGCGATGTTCAGGCTGTTGGGTCATCGTTTTATGTGTCTCTGGAAACCCGGTGGACAACTCGATTGCTCGGACTTTCCATGTGAGGAAATCCCTCTACCGAAATTTTAGGAGCCTTGAGCATCCGTCCATACGGGCTGGCCTCTTTAGATACTTTCGACGATCGTAGGACAACAAATTTCAATGGTATATCTTGATCCATCTTTTCATCCACGGCAATTAGGCGCGAAACCCGGCCCCAGGAGGGCTTTATTCGCGGCGAGGACCCTGGCATGGGAAGGCGAAACTTGGAATGAGGAGCGTGGCCTGAAGAGAGAAGGCCTGGAAACCGTGTGATGCAACGTGGTAAAACGCACCCTCTGTGATTCCTGAGAGTGGAACGTCGGTATTCACCAGCAGTGCTGAGCGGGACCAGGGTGGGGGGTGTGGGCTAGCGTCGAGTTTTCTCAACGGAGAGGGGGCATGGAAGAAAATCATGACCATCTACTGCAGGCGCCCAAAGCTGCAATTGGCTACGAAGATAACTTGGAGGGGGATCGAGGAGGACGTGAGGGTCGTGTTCAAGCGCATGGGGGAGGGCTTCGGACCACGATGTCCACGGTGGCCTCTGTTGGAGAAGGCTTGAAGCGACGGGCGTCGGGGAAGCCAGAGAAGCCCAGACAAGGAGCTTTGCACGACCCCTTGGGCCACGACGATGAAGATGCTTTCCGTGAACTGGACGAGTGTTTCCACAACGCTGACGGGCTGATGCCCCGGGT